AGTTTGAGAAATATCCTGTGAAATCTCTTACCTGATGAAGGTATGGAATAGACACCTCACAGGGATTTCCCTGGTCATCCGTAGTTTCATCCCACAAAGTGGTGATTTGAAGTCCAGAGTAAGTGTTCTTGATTTTTCATGTACCAGCATCTCTTGGAGACTTATAACAATGCACATTGCTGGTCACACCCCCAGAGTTTCTGATTCAGAAGGTCTTGGTTGATATCTGAGGACTGGTAGGTCTAAAAAAAGCTCAGGTGCAGCTGAGGCTTCTGGTCCTGGACCGCATTTTGAGAACTACTGACGTAGAAAGAATACAATGTGCCCAGGTGCTCAACACAAAATTATTACTTACCGATTCCTCCAGAGGAAACCCCCTCCCAATCAACAACCCCTCAGAACAGGACAGGGGATCCTCTCTACAGTTATAAACCCCGAGGCCCCAGAGACCTAGACCTCCTTCCCCACGATATATCAGAAAACGAAACCTAAAATTCTCAGTGTGGTCAACAAGGAGACTCAGAGATGCAGTCCCAATCCTAACCTTTTATGGAATAAATGAAAGCAAAGTTGGAGATCAAAGGGAGATGGATATCTGTAGAGAGGTGATGTTTCTACAGTACAGCTTTGGGAGACCCATGGCAGAGTTAAAACAAGGAAACTGAGGCAAAACTACCATGGCCTTGAGACACATCCGTGCATGTTAGGGAGAGGGTAGCTGAGATATAGGGAAGGTTATGCTGAATGTGGTGCCAGGGTGGGGGCTGGGGAGTGTTGACAGAGTCAGGCTAGAGCTCCCCACTCTCCCCCGCCATATGCCACACTCTGGTGGGACACAGAGCATCATGCACAGAGTTAGGACCACAGGATCTGAAGGATCTAACTTCAGGAGGGCTTTGGGTAAATGCCAGACAATGCAATGTTCTAAGCACTTCTCATGAAATAACTCTCTTAATACTCACACTAACCCAACAAGTAGATACAACAAACATTGCCTTTTACAGATTAAGAAATAGGGTCACAGAGAAGCCACGTATCCTGGTGGAAGTCACAAGGTGAGCACTCAGTGCACTCAAATCCAGGTTGTTTGACTTCAGAGACTATAGGCCTAACTCAACATACTGCTGTTGCTTCTTAGCAGAACACATATTTCTTGATCATCTGCTACCTTCAAGTCATTATTTTAGCTACTGTGGGTGGGGGCTAGAGGAGGGGGAAATAAAATAGATACTTCCCTTGCCTTGAAAAGAGTGAAATCTGGTAGGATGGACAGACCCACTTACAGCGAACTCTGAAACAAGGCAGATTGCAAGTGTAGGCTTCTATGTTCTGTCAAAAGCTACGGGGATACCGGGATACAGAGAGAGAACCGTAGGGGTGGATGGTAAGTCATGGAGACCCTGGTATCCTTTATTCTAGGCCCTAAGTGGATTGTAAGGAAAAAAAATAAAAACCAGTCCCTCCAGTCAAGTTGTTGACGCTTGAAAGAGGATATCTGGGAGGAAGAGCCAGCTGATTCTGAGGCTCTGACCTCATTTTTCAGATTCTCCTCTCCTTTGCACCCTTCTCTGGTTCCCGCTATCACCATCCTGCTGGCTTCAGAGGGTAGTAATCTTTTTCAAACACTCTGGCCCAGACAAAAAAACCTTTCTATTAACTCCCCACTGTACAGCTGAGACCAGGCTGGAATTAACAATAATGAAAATCAATAAGCCCTTCACTAAATGCTCAGGCACAGAAACAAGAAAATAAACTGTCTTATAATATCAAAACTCTGTCTAAGAGGACTGCTCTGTCCACACAGAAACCCCTGGGGGAAGGACATGATGCCTGCAATGATACCCGCTCTTCTTAGACCCTGGAATCCTTGAGTTCACAAATGCTATTCTCTTCCCTGTTTGTTATCTGGACTCCTCAACGTCTAGACAAAGAGATGGAGAATTGTCTTCCTTGGATCTGGTGCCTGGCCTCTCAGGTCCAGGCTTCCATGTTCTAACTCACCTCTGCTCCAAGCTATTGGAAGTAATGGACTTTCTCCTCCAGACTTTCCTTTATGGCCTTTCAAAGAACACCATGGCTACCTTGTCTGAAATCAAGTCTAGACACTTGTTAATTAACCGCCTGAGTTTGATCCAGGTACTTCATCTTCCTGAGTTTCTATTTTTCTGTTGGTGAACTTAGGGGTGTGAATTAGTAGTTAACTCAGTCCCATTTCTGACCTTTCTATAATTCTAGGCCCATTTGTGGCGTGACTCAAGTTGCTCATTGCATATATTTTGCCTCAGCAGTAATACTTTAAGGAAAATTGCCTGAACCTGAAAGGTCAAGTCTATGAGGAGGACCCATGTGCCTAAGCTCAAAGATCCATTGCTTTTAAAGAACTAGACTGGGTGAGTGGGACCTGGGCTCCTGGATTCTCTGTATTTACAAACATAGTATTGAAGATGCATTAAGACTAAGGGAATCCAGGGGCCCTTTCCATCTCTGGCAAGCTCAGCCACATGTAAAAATAGTGTGGACAGTACAAATACAAAGGCTGAGTCATCAGCTTTTCCCTCAGGCCCCAGCGTTCAGTCTGTGAGCCATCAGACATGACAAGCAGGATTCAAGCTAGTGCTTTCCTATGATCTACAAACCATTGCCCTGGTCATTCACCACAGGGCCATTAGCACATGTATGGAAGTGACAGAATTTTAATATGAGGATGATGATGAGGATGATAAGGCTCAAGCTCAAAGAGGATAAAGCCCCAGTGGAAATACAAAGTGGCCTGAGGTGACCTTATTGACCTCACCGTCATCATATCTACTATGTGTTGAAGGCCACACTATTGGCTGGAGGTATTTCACCAGTCAGGGGCCTAGAATAATGCATACTTCCTCTTTGGCAGGGGCTCTGGGAGAGCCAGACCTGGAAGATAACAGAACCAAGGTGGAAATGTCTCTCAATGAGAGTAAGGCGGGATCAAAACCAGAATCAAAGTTAGGAGACCAGGACAGCAGGAAACAAATATTGAGACCTGGGTGTAGAACCAAAGGTTCCAGAAGGTAGAAGAAGAGGAGAGCCGGGACCATTGAATGAGATAGATGAGCAGAAGGTTATTCTGGGCAAATACTAAAAAAAAAAAAAAACAACTCTATTTCTGAGATTGGATATTAAGGTGGCTTTTTACATCCTAGTGGAATAGTACATGGGAATCATGAAAGTCTCTGTAAGTCAATCCAGCTCATCAAAAAGAGACAATGGGCTTGTGTTTTCTGGGTTTCATGGTGCATTGGCTTCTAACTGAATTTGGTTTTCTTTCTTTTTTTTAATCATTTTTATTTATTTATTTGAGAGAGAGAAAGAGAGAGCACAAGCTGGAGAGGGGCAGTGGGAGAGGGAGAAGCAGGCTCCCCACTGAGCAAGGAGCCCAATGTGGGGCTCGATCCCAGGACACTGGGATCCGGCTGAGCTGAAGGCAGATGCTTAACCAACTGAGCCACCCAGGCACCCCTGATTTTGGTTTCTACCACCTAATTGCAAGGTATATTAGCTACATGTCACTGAGTAACAATTTACAACAAACTTAACAGCTAAAAACAACACACATCTGTTTTATCAGTTTCTGGGGATCAAGAGTTCAGTCCCAGCTTCTCTTGGTTCTCTGCTTCAGAGTCTCACCTTAAAGCTACAATCAAGGTGTTGGCCAGGGCGTCAGCCTCACTTCAAGGTTTAACTGGGGAGAAAGTCCTCTTCTGGCCCCACGTGATTGTTGGAAGCATTCTGTTTCCTACAGGCCATAAGAGAGAGAACCTGAGTGTCTTGCTGACTATCAGTTAGAGGTTACTCTCATTTCCTTGCCATGTGACTTTCCCTGAAGGGCAGCTCACAACACGTGTGGCTTCTTTGTAGCCAGCAAGACAGTCTCCTAGCAAGACAATTATAATCTCATGTAACATAATTGTGTGCACGCAATCACCTCTATTCGATCACCTTTGCCATATTCTAGTGTTTTGAAACAAATTAGAGGACACATCACACTCAAGCAGAAGGAATTATGCAAAGGCTTGAATACTAGGAGGTGGAGATTATGGGAACCATCTTAGCCTCTGTCATACATAAATAAATCTGCTAGTTGGGACTGGATCTCAATGCTACTCTACTGTTCTCCTTGAGAAATTAAACAAAGACACCATAATATGTGATACAGTTAAGCACAGGCTCCTGAACCAGACAGCAGATCTCACTGGGTGGGCAGAGTTGATGGGACAAGGTTGTTTCTCCTTCCTGTTGGCTCGTAGATGAATTTCCATCCCCGGGAATAAATCCTTCCTTTTCCCAAATAGACAGGAACCATGGACCAGATGAAATGAGGCAGAGAACTTAACAAATACAAGTACTAGGAGCTATATTGGGGTCCCCTAAACCTACTGCACGAGTTGAGGCAAATTTTGGCAATAAAGGCTTGTGAATAAAGCTTAAGGGATTTGGTTGACTCAGTATGAGTCAGCAGTGTGATGTGGCTGCCAAGAATAGCGAAGGCTGTGTTAGACTCAGTGTAATTAGTCCAGATGGAGGATTCGTCCAGAGGAGATGACCCTTTCTCACTTTGTGCTTCTGTGGCCCACACATGAAGGCTGATGCTAATTCCAGACCCCACATTCTGGGAGGGACATGGCCAAACTAGTGTACCTGCAAAGGAGAGTCCTTTGGTTAAAGGTTAAAGAGGTTGAAACCATGGAAGATAACAAAAAGAATGAGGACTGGGAATATTTAATCTGCAAAGGCAAGCTCCTGAACTGGATAAGATTGTTGTTTTAAAACACTAGAGGGCTGTCTTATGGACAAGATATTGGGGGGGAGGGTCTTATATGAGCCCAAGGGATAGAACCAATGTCCATAGTGGAAGTCTTGGAGGATCAGATGTCTGCTCAGAGTGAGAAACATTTCTCAGTGGGCACGGCTGCCATAGCAGAGGACAGATGCTTCTCACTGGAGGTCTTCGTTGTGTCTTTCAGTCATTCAACAAACACTTCTTAGTTCCAACTGACTGCCGGACCAAATTATGCAGATGCCCAACAAAGAAAATTCATCCCCTGTTTTCAAGAACTGTACCTTGAAGACAAGAAAACAAACCATTTCAAAGAAAGACTGAAAGTAACCAACAACCCCCAGCCGTCAGACATGTATTTCTTGGTCACGTCATATGCAGGAGGCCACAGCTTGCTTCCTGTGGTTCTGTGTACCTTCTCATTCTGGGACTTGGGACAGAAGAACAGAAGTGCTAGTGGAAATTTGTGATGCCTTTGATCAAGCTTCCGCTCCAGGTAGACTAATCTGCTGCTCGCACTGGCACTGGCCACAGCGTGTCAATGCCAAGTCTTGCCACAGGGGGCACTGTGAGCCACACTGCAACAGGCATGTATGCTCTACAGGGAAAAGGAAGCAAATGATCAGCAAAAGTAGCACAGTTTCCTACAGCGCCCTAGGAGTCATTCTGAGGGTGTCGAGAGGACAAGATTTTGTGGAAGACACAACTATTTAGAAGGCCTTCAAGGAAGAGGGGACTTACTCTTGACTGTGTTGGGCCAGTCCCTCTCTCTTTCTAAAACCTCTCTATGCTCACACTTTTATGCAGTCTAATCCATATCAGCGTAAGTGTTCATAAATTAGTTCGCTCTGGTCTGAGCGGGATGGTTTCCTTGCCTGGGAAGAGGAGTGAAAAAGTACACAAAATTTCCACTCGGGGAGCGAAATCTACAGAAATTTAAATGAGGTAAATGAAATTTAACAGTTGAGAAATTACAACTGTGAAGAAGTAGGTTAATCCAGGGACGAAAGGGAGTGAATCAAGAGAAACATATAAGAAGCTGAATTTAATTAAGGGACCTAGAAAGAAGATATTAGTAGCCATTCTCCATGAGGAATAATAAATGAAAGATTGCATGTCATTTGGGGTTGTAAAGGCCTAAATTATGGTCCTCCTCATGCTCCACTCCTGAAAAAAATTATTTATTTAATCTGTCTGTGAAAATTTCACAGATGGAGGGAGCAAAGCAGGCTGATTACAGTGTGTTTATTTGTTTGCTTGTAAGGAATTCTTATTGCCTTGGCCACCAGGAGCAAAACAATTCCCAGTACGGGAGAACAGAAAAATGGTCCCTTTTTTCCTAAGTGTGGCTGGTGAACCAAGGGAAGTTGGATGAGGCAGGAATGGGCACGTTGCCCAAAATACTTCATTGCTCACATTGCACGTCCTTTAATTTTTAATATATTTTATTTCTGTGTTCGGCAAGGTTTTGTTTTTTTAACCTCCTGGTGCAAAATCATTCTGTTAAAACCTCTGGAATTAACATGCCAAACGCCAACTGCAATGTGTAAGGGCTGTGAGATACTTCTCCAGTGATTTTCAATTTGAAAACTTGAAAACCTGTTCTCCTCAAAGGAAAAGCACAATTTTAATATTTTAAAAATAGTGTGGTGATGGTAATAAAATGATAGCAGTGTTTCCCTCTAAAGCTACCTTTGGGGTCCTGGGTGGGCCCCATGAGGGGTGAAGGTGGTGAGTGCCAGTCCTTCTGGCCATGCGAGATGAAGTCACATAAATAGAAGCGACCACCAAGAAAAGAGGCAGATCTGAAGTAAGACAAAAGCATTTATTTGGATTTCTCAGAATCGCAATTTGGGGAGCAGAGATTTGGGTAGAAACCCAAGTCGTGTCCACTAGGGAACAAAAGTCAAGGGTTGTTAAAGACAAAAAGGAATGCTTGTATAGATTGTTTACAAAGAATGTGGATTGATGTTGATGGCAGAAAACTAATCTTGGCTACCTGTAATTGGTTGCTAAGGCTTTCATTCACTAAGGAAAAGGCTATTACTGTGGCAACTTGCAAGTTTTTGTGCAGAGTCCTTGGATTACTTGCCATTTGGCCCAGTTCAAAAGTTCATGGTTCTATCCAGGGAGAACATGCATAAGGCCCACCTCCTTAATGATTTCCTGGCTCCATCGTAAACACCTTGACATAAGTAACTCTATTTTATTTCAACTCTCACAGAAAGAGGAAGGCCTCTTTGGAGTTCTGTGTCCACAACCTGCTAGCAGTGGTCTCGGCTAATAAGAATAAAGCATTTATTACACACGCTGAGTGCCACATATGGTTCTAAACTTTTACGTGGATTCACTCATATAATCCTGGTGACAATATCATGTGAGATAGATATTCTTTTTTTTTTTTTAAAGATTTTATTTATTTATTTGAGAGAGAGAGAATGAGAGAGAGCGAGTACATGAGAGGGGGGAGGGTCAGAGGGAGAAGCAGACTCCCTGCCGAGCAGGGAGCCCGATGCGGGACTCGATCCAGTGACTCCAGGATCATGACCTGAGCCGAAGGCAGTCGCTTAACCAACTGAGCCACCCAGGCGCCCCGTGAGATAGATATTCTTTTCTTTCCCATTTTCTAGATGAGAAAACTGAGGCCCAATAACTTGTCCCAAATATGTAAAGATCTTCTATAAGTTGATAACAAAAAGATAACCCAATAGGGGGAAAAAATGAGCAAAAGATATGAATTGGCACTTCATAAAAGGGGATATCCAAATAGTCCTTAAATGCAGGAAAATGTGACTGACCTCACTGGTCATCACAAAAATCCAAATTAAAACCAGAATGACACACCACTGCATACTTGACTGAGTGCCTACAATTAAATAGACTGATGGCACAAAGTGCTTGAGAAGAAGCAGAGCAATGGAAACTCACACACTCCTGTGGGGAAGGAGTTGGCCCAGCCTCTCTGGAAAACAGTTTGATATTGACCACTCAAGTCCTACATTTGCAAGTCCTTTGATACAGCAATTCCACTCCCAAGTATAGAGCAATGTGCACCAACAAAATCAGGCACTAGAGTGTTCATAGAAGCATGATCTGAAAAATCCTTAACAGGAAACAACCCAAATACCATCGACAGTAGGATGACTAAGAACATTCAGTATTCGCATACTTTTAACAGTAACAATGAATTTCAGCTCCATGAAACAGCATGGATGAATCTCATAAACATCATTGAATAAAAGATTGAAACACAGAAGAATACTGTATGATTGCACTTAAATAAAGTTCCAAAGTTTGCAAAATTAGTCCCCAGTTTTAAAAGTCAGGAGAGTCATGACCTTGGGGAGGACAGAAAGAGTAATGATGAGGACAGGCACTGGCGTCTTGAGGAATGACCTCAGTGTTCTTTGCCTTGACTTGAGTGGTAAAAGAAAACCTCTCCATGTGCCTTGAACCACTTCTTTATTTCTGGTTCAAGAATTAGGTTAGGGGTGCCTGGGTGGCTCAGTCAGTTAAGCATCTGACTCCTGATTTCAGCTCAGGTCATGATCTCAGGGTTGTGAGATTGAGCCCTGCCTCAGGCTCTGCACTAGGCAAGGAACCTGCTTAAGAGTCTCTTTCTCCCTCTTCCTCTGTCCCTCCTCCTCCCCCGCCAAAAAAAAACAAATAATAATTGGGTTACAGGTCTACTTGACCTTCTTCAGAATTCCATGCACAATCAGACAAGATTTTTTTTTTCCTTCACTAAGAAAATACTGAAGTATTATACAGTAATTGGATTTTTAAAATCAGACTCCTTGCCCCTACTTGCACCTGTTTCTAAGAAACTGGGCATCTAAATGTACAAGAAATGTTATGTTTAATAAAGTTAAACTTAGAACTCTAAGTACAACAAACTGGCAGTTTCAATTTCATTTTTTATTTCCCTTATCATTTACCCAGTCTTAATCCAGGAATTGCCTTTGGGTGGCTAGTGGAATTATTGTCTTGTTTGTTTTTTCCTCCTTTCTCGTTTTCTGTGATTTTCCAAATTAGCTATAATGAACAAATATTACTTTTGATAAAACAAGTGAAAAGTGTACTTTAAAATGTAGCTTAACTCCTGAGTAGAGAGAGGTGGATGTATAAATGTAACACGGTCCTCTCTAGTGACTCACTCTCTGTCTGCAAATGCTTCTTTTTCTCCTCACTTTTGCAATAAACTTAGTAGAGAATTTTGCCATTTCAAACTCCTCTGCTGAAACCAAGCCCCTGATTCTGGGACTCCTGCCCAGGTCCCACCTCTTTGTGAGGTTTTCCTTCCCTGACCAGCCAGCTGGAAGCTGAAAGTCCCTAATGGTCAAGTTAAAATGATCTTCTTTCTCTGAACACATCAAACATTTTGAAGGTTGGTACACATTCCTAGGACATAGCAGTATCCATCTCTTGACTGATGGGATGACTTACCAATCAATAGATGCCTCAAAATTTGATTCTGTGTTTTTTACTTTCTTTATTCTCTACTATAACATGTAATTAGAAAGGTCATGTGGAAGTTATAGGAAAAAAAAGTGTTATCAAACATGACTTAAAGGTGATGTTCCCAGGATCTTAAGAAATAACACATTGTATTTCATTGACTTTAAGATTTTCTTTTCCTTTTTACATTTTATATTTATGGAATTGGATTATCTCACGATGGATGGCATCTGACTGTTATTGTTGGCCATGTTTCTGTCATGACCCTGATTGCCTGCTCATGGATGGACTGGGCTCCATGATCTCTGCCTCCTGAAGTTTATCTTTCCGGTGAATTCAACCCCTTCAGTGTGGGCTGGACTTACTGACTTTCTTCCAGCAAATAGAATATGACAAATGTGGCAGGATGTCGCTTCTGAGATTAGGTTATAGAAAGATAATGCCTTCCATTTCGAGTGCCTTCTTATGTTGTCTCAGTTGTTCAGTAGGAGGAAGCTGACTGCTATGTTATGAGCATCCCTACGGAGACGCCATGTAGCCAAGGAACTGAAGGAGGTCCCTGGAATGGCCAGGGAGGACTGGCCCTCAGTCTAACAGCCTGCAAGGAACCAGATCCTGCCAACAGCTGAATAAGTGAGTGATCCTCCCTCACTGAGCCTCCACGTAAAAACAGCACTGACACACACACACACCTTGCCTAGAACCTGAGCTACTCTGAGCCAGAGGACCCAGGTCAGCCGTGACTGGATTCTTGACCCACAGGCACCATGAGATAATAAATGTGTGTTGTGTTAAGGCATGAACTTTGGGGGCAATTAGTTATGCATCAGTGTATAATTAATACACCCACTTGCTCTCACTTCCATTGAGATATTAGCATTATTTGATGTACATGTGGTAAATATGATTGTTTTTAAATGTCTTGAAAAAAACGCACTAAGAATTAGCACTTGGAATAAAGAGTAACATATATGCAAAAGAAACAGAAACAGAGCATTGGGGTAATATGACTTTAGGGAGACAACGTCCTTATTTGTAGGAGTGACCCAGAGTTCTACATTCTCTTACAGAGCAACAACCAAGTACTTTATGAGACTACATTATTTGTCTAGGGCTACCCTAACATGGTCCTACAGACTGGGTAGCCTAAACGACAGAAACGTATGTCCTCATTATTCTGGAACTTAGAAGTCTGCGATCAAAGTCAGAGGGTAGGGTGGATTTCCCCTGAGGGCTTCTCTCCTTAGCTTGTAGATGACCTCCTTCTCCGTGTGACTTCATATGGCTATTTCCCTGTGCATATCTGCACTCTAATTTCCTCTTCTTATAAAGACACCAGTCCTTGGATTAGGCCCATACTAGTGACCTCATTTTCACTTAATTACCTCTGTAAAGTCTCCAATTTGAAATGCAGTCACATTCTGAAGTCCTGGGACTTAGGACTTTACCACTTGAATTTTGGCATGGACACCCGTCAACTCATAACACAATGCAAGGTAACATATTCACCTTCTAGATATTAGGATACAGACATCTTTGGAGGTCATTATTCTGCCTCCATTTGGATGCATGATGGATGAAAAAGCATGGAAAATTTCCTGCATGCCCCAGCATGAATGGCATATCCCACCTGTGAGGGAAACTAACACTGGCCAAATCAAAGGTAGAGTGATGTGCTCTCCACAAGAAACAGCTCGGATTCTCAATTATTCCAAAGGAGAGAAACTAGTTGCTTGATTTTCCGTGGGGCGCTCTTCCTCTTGCTCCATTGTGCTCCTTCAGCGTCACTTGCTTTTCAGGTGAGTGTAAGTCAGCTCAGGCAACATCAACACTCTGGTCAATGGCACTATTTAAAATCAGGCACAGAATGAGTATTTTCCGTATTCAGCCACTCGATATATATTGACCTGCTATGTGCCACATAGCAGCTGTGTCATCTTACCTCAATCTCAAAGTACCGCATTCTGCATAAGTACCATTGCATTCGTTTGTTTTATTTTATTTTTTTAAAGATTTATTTATTTATTTGAGAGAGAGAGAGAGAAAGAGTGTGTGAGAGAACACAAGGGGGGATGGGGTGGAGGGGGAGAGGGAGAGAGAGAATCCTCAAGCTGACTTCCCACTGAGTGCAGAGCCCAGGCTTGGCTGGATCCCAGAACCCTGAGATCATGACCTGAGTTGAAACCAAGAGTCAGACACTTAACCGACTGAGCCACCCAGGCGCCCCACATCTGTTTGTTTTCTAAAGGAAAAATGAGCTCGGAGCGGATATGCAAATGGACTGGAATGGCAGAGATTCACACTCAGCTTTGTCTGAGCCCAACTCTTCAGAACTTGCCTTCTTTTCTCCTCTGTGATTTTTCAAGCAACAATGACTTCTAGGCAGATGTTGTCTGTTCACAAGAAGAACTGTTCCCTTAAAGGGTCTGTACTCCAGAGGTCATTCAGGTGCTTATTAGGAAAGTAGATGGGTTTTGTTGCACTGTTTCTTGCTAAGAAAGCAAGGACCATCTGATTTAATTCCCTTGTTTTAAAAGATTTTATTTATTTATTTGACGGAGAGAGAGAGAGGCAGAGCTGCAGGCAGAGGGAGAAGGAGAAGCAGGCTCCTCACTGAGCAGGGAGCCTAATGCAAGGGCTCAATCCCAGGACCCTCAGATCATGACCTGAGCCGAAGGCGAATGTTTAACTGATTGAGCCACCCAGGTGCCCCTGATTTAATTCCCTTTTATAATAACAGTGCACATGTCTTCAGTGTGCAGTATGCGCCAGGTGCTTTACAAGAGAAGGGTGTCATTATTTCCCCCCTTTATACAGGAAGAAATGGAAGCTAAGGAGCTAGGGTGAAATCACAGAGCTAACACTGCACCACCCCAGCAATCTGATTCTGGAACCTGCCCTCTTGGGATTTGTGATATCTACTCAGTTCTGGGGGAGTTCACTTCATGTTCTTTTTCTAAGCCTGAATAGGGTGAAAAGACAGACTATGAACACAATAGATTTACAACCACCCCAGGAAAAGACCACGGCCATGGTAACAATTAGAGAATAGGACAGGACAAAATGAGCTCTGATTGTTGGCAAGGGGTCAATGAGTTAGCAACCAGGAAAGAAAGGGATCAAGGGAGTTAATCAGTTTTGGGGTTTTAAATTGGCCTCAAAAATGGCCCCCCTCTTCCCTGCCCATGCAACAAAGACTAAGACAGGTGAGAGCTGAGGAAGTCTGGTCTCACAGATAGAAGCTAGGTTGGAGAATGTAATCCTGTGAGAGCCAGGAGGCCCAACTGGTTCAACTCCATAACGAACAGGGCACACTTCCCCAGGGAAGAAGAGACACCCCCAGACCAGAGTTGACCTCTCTCCCACAGCGAGGACCCCAGAGGAGCAGTGAAGCCTCGCAAGTTGGATGCTCCCTGCAAGGAGCTTGCTCCCAAGAGGAAGAAGAGCAGAGCTGATGAAGCATCTACAGTTTTTCTCCCCAAGTTTGCCAATAAGTTAGTCCATCTGTCTCCCTAGGTAGGCAGAGTTTTCCTGCCAAACATGGCAGCTTCCAGAAAGAGGTAAATCCATAAAGGTATGCTGAGGGTACACAAGGAACAAGAGCTAGGAAGGGCATTACAGCTGCCGCAGGATACCCCGACACCTTTCTGGTTTCCAACTGCATGAGGACTGTGTCCAGCTCACTTCTGATCTCCAGTGCTGGCAGCGAATAGGAGCTAAAGAACTTGGTGACGCTGGAATGAATGAGCAGCGACAGCAGTGCTGAGATCTGAGGCACCACGTGCAATCGAGGGCCCCAAGGTGAGATAAAGTTTGCTGGGAGGTTGCATCTCCATAGCAGCTTTTATT